TTGCTTCAAGAAACAGATTTCAAATCAAACAATTTAATAAGCACATGTCAAACTGTGCAACATTTAATATTTTCATCCTCTCGACTCAGGGCGTTATAAACTACTGGTGATATTGACAAAAACCGAAAGTTTGCCAACTCAATTTCTTTGTTATTGTGAGCGTTCAACCCACTGTTTGCTAGCCTGTGCGATTTCACCCACTTGAGGCCGATTTGGTAATTGTGATAGGCGGTGGGAATCACCCACCTAGTGATAGGTATAATTAAAATGCCCCGCTTGGAAATAACTGTGGGCGATATGAGAATTTTAGCCTCGCAAAGCTTTTATGAACCCCCCCCCCCCCCCTTAGAAGTTGAAATGAATACGGAACTGTGCTATCTTGAGCTGGCACCCGATCCAGACACCTTAATCAAAGGTGAGAACGAAACATATTCTGGTGATCTGAAATAATGGGTGTTCTATATACGGAAAGTATGAGTATGTTTCGTCAAACAAGAAAATTGGACTTATTATTACTATGAATAGAAATAATATGCTTTCAAATTTTTGCAGTCCATCCAAGATATCCCCCCCCCCCCCTCTTTCCCTCTCTCATGAAACACCAATATAAAACAAGAACAACACTAAACAAAACGACCCTCACCAAGATAAAACAAACAAAAGCACCTTCCAAACCCCCTCCCCCCAAAACCCAAACAAACATAACAAACAAACAGACATAGCAAACAAACAAACCAACAACCGCGTCCAATAGATGACTGACATGAGTGACAGTACGGAATGTTAGATTTCGAATATTATGAAGAGGTTCGTACTAAAAATTCCATTCTCACTTAGCTAACATTAAACAGTTCGTTAAAAGAAGACTGTAAGCTGTAGTTTAAGTTAAATGCACATTGATGCAAAGTGGTAAAGACAGACAGACAGACAGACAGACAGATAGATAGATAGATAGATAGATAGATAGATAGATAGATAGATAGATAGATAGATATGTGACGCATCACGAATAAATATCAATATTATTGAGATGTACTCAACGGGGGTCAATGGGTTCCATCACATTAACAGTACGCTTCCGTGTGACAGAATCAATGACTGCTGATCCGCACGGCTACGGCAACGGACAGTGAGACAAAGTGGTCATTGATCCTGCCACTGTACCTCCCCAAGAGAAGAAACAAACATAATGGACACTGGAACTTACGCCAGGGGACTCTCGGACTCGAGTGAGCAGACGGGATGTCGCACTAATAACCCTAAATCGGACAGTGATACGCGTTGCTAGACGGACGTGAGTAATAGCAGGGTTCACGAGTGAAGGTGGTGGGTAGTTTTGCTGTGTGGGATGGGTAAATCTAGTATGTTGCAATGTGGAATGGCTATGCTGCTGTGTAGGATGACTATGTTGCTGTAGATGTGAGACGGTGGCTGGATCGTTGCAAACACATTCTCGCCCACGGGCATTTTTGTTGAACACACAAGCACGCGCGCGCGCGAGAGAGAGAAAGCGCACGCACACACACACACACACACACACACACACACACACACGCGAGGGCACACACACACACACACACAGAGTCAGCAACATTATGAGCTTTTTCGAAGAATTACATCTATGCTTGCTAAGCAGAGTTTTAAAAAATGTACTCTTTTACGCCCTCCTCGACAAATTTTAGTTCATTTAGGAGGCAGGCTTTGGCCCTACTGATCAGGGCCAACCCAGGCGGAGAGAGATACAACAACATCCCAGCACAAAGACTAAGATGCTCGATAACAACTCTTCTACTGCTCGGGAATCGAACTCCCGAACTCAGTCACACCACAGATGGCGGTTATAACAGCTTTCATGTAGACAATTTTTAAGAGGTTGGTGGGAAGGGAGGGGGAGGCTCACATTAATCTGTTCTGGATTACTGAAATTAGAATAAACAAGTTTGTTCACAACCCACTTTTCACAAATAGTTAGAGATATACATGTATAAGACTATAC